TTAGGTTTTTTTTTTTTTTTTTTTGGGGGGTGGGGGGGGTGTTTGGGGGAAGGTCCCTCCTTATATAGGCCTCAACCCCCTCTAGGTATGCCTATCCCATTATGACTCACCTTGACCAATAGGAATTTAGGAAATCTATGGGGTGAGAGGATTAAATCTGAGCCATCCATGTTATAAATCAGCGTTCACTATTTAGGAAGGAATATTAGAAATTTTGTCCCTTTAATATTTGAACCATATCCACTCCTATACTAATTTAGGATTAGATCAATCTAAAAACCTTCTAGAAGTTATTTATTGCTTTAAAATTGTAGGAAGTGAAAATTAAATATCTTGTTCAAATATGTATTAAGATAACTCCCACAAAATAGGCACACATAATCTTTTATTATAAAAAGGTTATTTAACTAACTTAAAAACATACTTTAATTAGAATAAAAGTTCTAAACCAAGAAAGTAGAGGGCCGTGCCAACCCTATGGGTGATATGTGAGCCCCAGGCTCCACACCTCGTTCATGGGGTGTGGCACATGGCCCACAATCTCATGCAGGGGCTCATGACTGGTTTGTCAAAGCTGACCAATTAACAGTAGAACCATGATCCCAGAATGTGGATTACAGTTCTCCTCCTTTAAGAGCAAGCTAAGCACATATCATTATAGTGCAAAGGGGGGCTCTCTATGCACATGTGCATGTATCTTTTTTCATAGTTGCTTCCCGGTAGTGTGGCTATTATATATCAATGTTGTGTGGAAGTTTGTTGAGGATTTAACCTTTGTTCTCATAGGCCTACATCCGTACACAAGAGGCCACAAACTCTCCTGGCTTGCAATCTATCCCTGAGCATCTCTTCGAGCTCAACAAGCGATGATCCTTTGTAAACCCTTTGTGATAGTGCTTCATGCTTAGGGGTAAGGGTTTTGGACATGACTAGGGCCATAGACCTTTTAACCCTTGGTCAGTCAAACATCACACACTCCTATTGAAGTGTATAATCCACTATAAATGTTAATTACATGCTCTTACGGCCTTTAAAGGCCACAAACCCTAACACATAATCCTTCGATTTGGGTTAGGTGTTTCTCTAAGTATTAAGTGGTTGATGGTTATGACCTTATCTAGCAGAACTAGCCTGCCGAAGGCAATCATTTTGGGTCAGGTGTGGATTACTCAGAATTCCCCTCCTGGGTCTGTAGTCTACCCGTTGCAACATTTTGAAAGGTAGTATAGTGCAATGAAGTCACTTATTTTCTCCTTTAATTCCCTTTTGAAGCATGGACTCCAAACCATACTATTACCACAAAGTTGAATGACTTTTGTCACGACCACATCTTGGTCCATGGCAAATAGTTTTTGGGAACTGTTCTTATATGTGGTACCTCATGTATCATGCTTCCCTTCAGAACATAGTTCTTCGCACATCCAATATGTACAAGCTTGTTAATCTTGTAACTTTTATTTTTCACTTTTTAACCTCTCCCTTCAAGTGGGCTTTGCCTTTCTCTCTCTAACTTCTAAGAGAGGCTTGAGCTTCCAAGGGTGGCACATCCACTCCATATGCTATACGTGCCAGTTTCTTCACTGAAGCTCCTTCATGGTGAGTTACTCCCTTATTTGTCTTTCATATTTGTATTTGTTTCCACTTTTTTTTTCTTTGATTTTTTTTTTCTTTTGGGGGGCTTTAGGAATATCTTCTTTTTTATAAGGAGGTTCTTCCTAGACAGTGATCGGTTGGGCTTATCTCCTCACACTCTGTTCTTGGACTCCCTCTGGGACTCCTTGGCTTTGTTTTAGGTCCTTTTTTTACATTCAGCATGCCCATTTATAAGGGAAATGCTACCAAAGTTTTATTGGGCTAGGGGCTGCTTTGGCATTAGAAAAGTCTTTGCCACCAACCTTTTCTTGTTTGGTCAATGTTAACTTATATGAGTGCTTCTGAGGACCTCTGGCCACCTAGGCGGCTGCCTCCGCTTTTTTTAATATTGACTATGATTAACAAGCTTCGTATGGCTATTAGAGAGTGTCTCAATTGAGGGTCCTAGGGTTTTAGTTGCATCACCTGCCCCTCAAATCTCCATACTCCCGAAGTCTTAATAAGGTGTGCTTCTTCTGTTGAGTTTAGAATGAAGATTATATCCCCATTAAGTTATTTGCAGGCCACCTGTACATTTGTCTCGACACTTTAGATAGTCATTTTCAAATTTCCGCAGGTCTGTGTTGTTGCCATTAAGTGAAGCCACCTAGTCGGAGTGAGGCAAATGTAAGCTTTCCATGATAATTGAGCCTTAAAATGGGATATCTGTGTTTTCTTCACTGTTCCGCTTACAAGGAATCTGGTTAAGGTGAATGAAATGGGTGGTTCCTCTAGGCTCTTATGGGATTTCGACAGCTGTTTCTGCTGCCATCTCTGTGCCCTGTTCTTGTGAATCATGGGCTGAAACCTTGTTGGTGGGGTTTGATATGCTGTCCCGATTCTTGTCCAGCTTGGCTGGCTTCTTGCTCTCTCTCCATTTCCACCATGGCTTTTTCTTCTCCCTTCTCATAGTTCTCACTTATCGCTACCCTTGCTTGTTTTAGGTTCCAAATCTAGATCATGTGGTTTTTTTCACTAAAATCTCTCATTCTGGATTTTGGTAATTCTATTTGGTTCCACATTTTTGGTAATTTCAAGACCTAAAACAGGGACATCTGGAGTGTTTTGAACAAAGTAGTTCAGAAGGCGCTCGAGTGAAATGATCGTTTTAAAGTAACCACTTTGTTGATAAATTAATTGATTTGACCGCCTCTATGATTTTTCGAGGTGTTTTGACTGCAAAAGAAAAGTACTTCAATGCAATTTACTCCATTATGCTTTGTTTTGGTCAGTGTGCAATGTAAAACCTGTGTGATGCTTTTGTACAGAGCCCCCTTCATAGGGGTTGTTTCTTTTTTATATAGAGCCCCCAATTTGTAGGGGTGCCATTTTTGTATAGAGCTCCCGGCCTGTGGGATGCCTACTTTTGATATTTTGTATTTCTTCCTTTCTACTCAATACAATATACACTAGCTAACAGTTTCAAAAAAAAAAGGAAAAAAAGAGAAGAGAGTATATGTGTTCCTAGACTATACATATAGTGCTAGACTATACTTACTTTTTAAGGTTATAAGCAAGATCCCAAAGGGTCAGGATCAAGATCCCTAAAAGGTTGGGATCTTGACCCCAAACCTTTGGGAATCTAGATCCTAACATATGCATTGTATGGACGTGGTAACCATTTCATCATGCTTATAGACTTTCATGAGAATTGGAGAATGTGGAAGTGAGGCAATAAGAGAAAGTTATAGTTTATTGATAGTGAATTATGAAGAGATTTTGAAATGGGTGTATGGTTACTGGAGATCTATCTGTTGAAGCTTCCGATAAATCAATATATTTAGGTGATATCTTTAGGTGTTTTATATGGACAAACATTTGTGCAAGATGTGCAATGAAAAAACGGAAGAAAGCATTTATGTACCAAGCAAAAAAGAAAGAAAAGGAATTCTATGCAAGTCCTGGTGATACCATTACTTTCGCACTCCCTATATCTCATGTATCGTTGATATCATATATCTCATCCCTCATAGAGAAAGAAAAATGTTACATGTGAAAAACCTTCTCATCCGAGCCTGTTATGAGTCCTGCATTTTATTGGGAAAATTGTTTTTAACAGATACTTGTTGTTAATTCATTAGTAGCTTATTGGAAGTTTTGTGCTCTAGGAGTTTGCTGGTATAGATCACTTCCTTTTTGAGTGGTATTTATATGTCCTTCTGAGGAATTTTTTTTAATAAATAAGATCACTTCCTTTTGAGTGTTATTTATATATCCTTCTGAGGAATTTTTTTTAATAATAAATAATGGCTAGAGGCTATCCAAGATACATTTGGGACCAGAAGCACAGCAGCTTCATATATTCACCACTGTCATGCTATAAAATTATTGCTTATTTTGCCAAGGTCCTCTATTGTTAAATATATTAGTTCAGTTGTGTATCTTGATTCTAGATATGTAAATATATCAAACCCTTAAAATGCTTGTACTTTTAGCAGATCATTGCTAATGGCATATGGCTGTAATATTTTCTATTTCTGTTTCGATCAGCTGTGACTGGATGTTAAATATTATTAAGAAAATAAGAACTACACTGGAAATTGAAACCTGACCCTTTCTTTTGGATCTTATATAACTTTTTTCTTCATATATTTTTCACAGAGCGTCACTCCTAATCTGGCTCTTGGTGATGAAGTGATTTGGCTTGGCCATCAAAGGAGGTCTGCCTTTGGAGTTGCTGCTCGATACAATTCAGATGAGATGGTCAGTCCTCCATTTCTCTTCATCCATTCCTGGCATCAAATCTTTATAATTTTCTCACAGCACTCAGCATTTTTGTGCGTTCTTTCATCTACTTGGGTATTCAAAAAAGGGATTAGTTTGGATATACAAATGATTTGAAATCGAGGGAGTTCTGGATCTGTGCTTGTGCATTGATTAAAAAATCAGCAAAATCCTTTTTTGCATACACTTTTTTTTTTTTTAAATTTTCTGACAAGTTTTTGTTGATTTATTGATAGTCCGTGACTGATAGGAGATGTATACCAATCTTACGAACGGTCTGGTTCAATAATGGACCAAAAGCTCCCCTTATTAGGTGAATTATGAGCCTTTTAATTGGATCAAAGTGTAAAATTAGTTGTCTTCAGTTTTGGGCACAAATTTGCTCGAAATTGGCTTTCAATTCGTGCATTGTTTGTCGCTTTTCATATACTGTCGGAAAGTGCTATAGATCTAATGTACGAACCCCATTGTTGGATCCTTACCAGATTGATGGAGATCATGAAAAAATGGCAAGAGGTTGAAACTCATGTCATTTGGATGACATGAAAAGTAGCCAATTTCTCTCTAGATTTTTATCCTTTTTCGGAGAGAAAAACTCTCTCACTACAAAAGCTTTTAGTGCCACTTCAAAAGCTTTAGTGCCATATTGAAGAAAAACTGCTTGCTCCAAAACTTCAAAAAGCTATCAGAATTTTTAAAACTACTCTTGAAAACGAAGTTTGTGCAGAAATTTCAAATGTTTTTTGGAATAGAAAACAATATATTGTTGAACTCCCTTATGAGCCTGATTTTAATGAGCGTAATATTCCTACTAAGGCTAGGCCTATTCAAATGAATAGGAGGCTTTTGACTAATCTTTTTAGGTATATCTTCAAACAACCCTTCAATTTCATTGCCAAAATTTTGTCCAAAAAATAAGGATAACATTTATACATATATATATATATATATATATATATATACGTTTACCTTAACTATTTTCAAGATAATAAAATTCAAGATAATTACGACGCCCGCTAGATATACTTGTTTTTTTGGGCAAAATATATATATATAAAAAAGAAAATCAATAAAATAAATCGGCAAAACGAATTTCACGGTAATATTTAAGTTTTTTTGGGCAAAAAATATATATATATAACAAATGAAATAAATTGACAAATTTCAAGGCAAATTTATGTCAGGAATAAAATTCAAGATAATAATGATGCCCGCTAGATATACTTGTTTTTTTGGGAAAAACATATAAAAAAAATTAAATCGATGAAATAAATTGGCAAAACGAATTTTACGGTAACATTTAAGTTTTTTTGGGCAAGACATATATATAAAAAAGATGAAATAAATTGCCAAATTTCAAGGCAATATTTAAAAAGAGCATGCTGGCTATGGGGTTCGAACCCATGCGAACTCATGTGCAGAGGATCTCCTTAACCACTCGGACAAACCAACTCATACGTACCAACTCATCATAAATATTTAATTGTCCTATTTTTAATGCCAAAATGCAACCCTAATCCTAGAAGTTTCTCCCAATCGGACGGCTGATATTCACCTTAGAATTCCTATAAACAATGCCCTCCTTTTCTCTCTCATGAAAAAATGCCCTAACTTCTTCTCAGCACAAGGTCGCATTTTCTCCTTGTTTTTATTGATAGCATATTTGATATATTCAACGATTTTATGGGTTTTATTGACCAATTGATCGAGTATTCGATGTTTTTTCACGGGTTTTATTGATGTATCCTTTGTTTTATTCAATGATTTGCTGGTTTTTGCTGATTAACTCTTTGTTTGTTTAATCCTGTTTCATGGTTTTTACGAGCTACTTTGTTGATTTCTTCAATGGATCTGGTGTTTTTATTGTATTGGATATGCAATTTGATCTTCATGATCGTGATAGTTTTGGTTCCTACTTTGTTGATTTCTTCAATGGATCTGGTGTTTTTATTGTATTGGATATGCAATTTGATCTTCATGATCGTGATAGTTTTGGTTCCTACTTTGTTGATTTCTTCAATGGATCTGGTGTTTTTATTGTATTGGATATGCAATTTGTTCTTCATGGTCGTGATTGTTTTGGGAACCTAGTTTTCTTTCTTCTTCATGATTTTAACTGACTAGTCCCAATTGTCAGTTTAGGCTCACAATTGGGTTTACCTTGAATTAATGTTTCAAATTACAGTTCTCCTGTGCCATGCTTCATTTCTGTATAGCAGCATAATGCCTAACACAGCCAAACAACTAGTAAAATTACAGAGAAGTCCTTAATGACCTCATTCGCTTCGTCTACAATGTATTATACACATTAGTAGTAAAAGGAAAATCTCACCATGAATTGTCAACTGATCCACCACCCTCCAACTTTTTCACACTCCAAAACTCTCCAATCTCATAAACATTCTCTTCCTCCTCTTCAATGACCTCTTCCCAATACTTCCCGATTCCAGACTCCCATAAATCTCTAAAACTAAATCCATCATCATCATCATCAATATCATCAGTATCATCATAATCAGCTTCATCATCTTCACCACCACCACCATAGAGTTTCTCTCACTTCATCCTCTTCCCTTTGCTAACCAGTTCCATCAGCCTCTCTTTAGCCCCCAAAAGCTGGTCCTTGTCCAACAACTCCCTTCCCTCATAAGCCTCTGTCAAAAGCAGAGAGTTCCTCAGCCCTTCGAGGGATACATAAAACATCTCGAGATGTCTCACTAGCATAGCCCTCAACCTATTTGGTAATCCAAAATCCTTTCTAAAATTTGTTAAATGATCCACCAAGGTCCTCTTCTCCATTGTGAGGCCCAACACCTCACGGACCTCTCCACATGCTCTCTTCTCAGCCTCCTTTGTAAAGGGCATAAACCCTTTGGCATCTGAATAAGGGGAGACTTGATTCATCTCCTCAAACTTAATCAAGTAATCCCTATGCTTTCTCTTCAAATTCAAGCTCTAAGGCTAGACCATAGCTGGTATCTATGACTTTGAAGTATTGGAGGGTATTTTTGGCAGAGTTTGGAGCGAAAGTCAATGGGAAGGCCAAGGTCAGGACCAAGATGGACAAGCTTAGAGAGAAGTAGGCGCCTGTGTTGTGCGAGCATAAGTAGCTTGCGCAGCTTACGGATAAGTTGGCCTTCTATTTGGGCTTTGAGAGATGATTCTTGGGCATAGAGCTCAAGGCAGCAGGCGTGAGAGTGACTGAGAGGAGTTTGGGTTATGACAGAGGTTGAAGATGGAGGGGTAGCGTCTGATCATGAGGAGGAGGCGGTGACGACGGATACCAAGACAAGGAAGACATTTGGAGAGGTACGTAGAGAAAGAAAATGTTGGCGTTTGGACAGGAGGAGGGTCTTCAGCTTGGTTGAGAACCTCAGCTTGTTCTTCTTCTTAACCAATTTGTCTAGTGGGCGGGTGAGGAATGGGTTTGAGAGCAAGCGAGATTGGGGGATTGGGTGTTGGAGTTGATTTGCAGGTGGTTGTGTGTTGTTTTAGAAGATGGAAGCTTGAGGGAACAAATGAAGTTTTGTTAGACAGAAGAGAGCAGCTTCTTTTGGAAAAGGAGATTTGTGAAGTATTATTAGGAAGCAATTGGGGTAGACTAACCATCATCATGCATAGCAGTGCCTGTGTGAATTCAATGGAGGAAAAAGGTTGGTCTCACAAAATTGAGGGTGTGCTTCAAATAAAAAATTATCAGCAATTTGCACTCAAAATCTCAAGAGTTCTTAAAATATCAAATTATTGAAATAAAAACTATCCAGAGCTCAACAAGACGATAAGAAGACGAACCCTGTGAAATATCGATCTAAACATGGCTGACACTCTACCAAGTCAAGTAATTTTACTCTGTTTTGAACAAATGTACTGTACCATTTGTGATCAATAAAGAAGAAATAATTGTAGTGTCTAATCTTCCAAAACAAGACCGAATGAGTGATATTTTGAATCAACTCCTCCCATCTTCCTATGGAGTACAAAAGAGACCCATTTTCCAAAATTTTAAAAAAGAAATGAAAACACCCATATTACATTATCTTATGAAAAGAGGTCCATATTCCAAAACCTCATTGTCTCGAGAACTGATCGCCCCAGAACAAAACCAAGAGCGTGGTATGGTTTTGAATAACATAATCAAGAGAATGGAACATGAACAGCTCCTACAAGTACTTCTCATGGGAATTTCGTTGAACAGTTGGAAGCACAAATCTTTCAAGGCTTCACTTGTCTTTGAATGATATACAAATCAACAAAAGCAAGTATTGAATTTCACGAGACAATCGAAAGTACCAAACTGAAATTCTAAAACAAAACCAACATTACAAAAATTTACAGAAATCTGTATGAATACAATGGAAAAATGTTACAAAATGCAATAGAAGTAAAAGACATCTTTTTTTCTGGAAGAATCAAACAAGAAAAAGAAAATATGTGAATTATATCAAAATTTTGAGAAAGAGGAAAGTTGGGTACACTCACATAACTGTTGAAACTCCAACAAAAATTCAAATAGGTTCAGTGGTTCTCTTGTAAATGATTTTCAATTAAACAGAGCAGAGAACAGAGAAGAAAATGAGAGGGGTAGGGTGTGAGGGCATGTCACATAAAAATCGAGTGAAATTCCAAGCAGCAAAGGTGAAGAAGCCACAGCTGGGAATGAAACGATGAGCATCTAAAGTAGAAGAGGTGTTCTTTTACCAATGAAATGAAAGTACAATACAAATGAATAAAAAAAACAAAACAGAAAGCACCGAGAAAGAACTTGGCCGGGGGGGGGGGGGTGGGAAGGAAGGAAGTGAAAGGGAAGAGGAAGGCAAAAGAAGAAGAGATGCAGCACATATACTCGTGACGTGGCCTAGTTAGCTAATAGATCCTCCTCAGAATTGAATCTACAGACCACATGATGGAAGGAAACTTCAAAATACCTAAGAAAGATCAAGATTTCACCCATAAGGCTACTAAGCCGCCACGGGGAGGTGTCTGGATGTAAGCACTCGCTAATCATTTGCAAAGTCACCTTCAATGATAACTCTAGGGAGCGAAAGGTCCAATTTAGATATTCCCATCTTCATGACCCATGGCTCAGCTTCATTAATTTCACAAGGATGAAGCTTCCCAAAATAAGTCCAAATTGTAGACCCGAGATTGTCTCTAAGAAAGCCCCATAGCCAACAACCTGACCCTTCAAACTGTCGTCAAAATTAAGCTTAACCCATTCTTCCATAAGGGTATTCCAAACATAGCACAAGGAAGTGCGGCCAGGTTTGAAAAGCATCAAGTATCTATAATGCGTGAAGAATAAGTCCTTGGGTACCCCTTTAAGGGGGAGGAAGGAGTAAGCCCAAGCAACAATGAAACGCTGGACTACCGAGAGGAAGGTTGACATATCTCTACTGTGACCTTCAAAGGTCCTCAAGTTCCGTTCCTTCCAGAGGTTCCATAACAAAGCTCCCACTGGTGAGAAAGGAGGAGCCCATAGCTGCTGTAGCAAAGCATGAACATTCCTAGGCCTAGGCCCAATCCAATTAGCACTACCCACCAACCATTCGCACATAGCTACAACGAAGGGGGAGTGGATTAATAAATGATCAATGGACTCCTCATCACTTTTGTAAATAAGGCGTATATTAGTGAGAATGATACCCTTTCTTCGAATTCGGTCAATAGTGAGAAGCCTTATGAGGCCCAGTAGCCAAAGAAGAGTCTTAACTCTATGTGGCACTTTGCAATTCCATAGTTTAGCCACCTAAGGCTAATCTTCAATATATCGGTCCCTACTTACAGATCAGTAGAGTGATCGCACCGAGAAGGCACCACCAGTTTCTAGAGACCAAATGATCATGTCTGGATTTCTAGGATAAAAGCAAAATGCATAAAGCCTCGCAAGTAAGGCTTGAAATTGTTCAGTCACTATCCAATCGCTTCTAATGTTAAGGCTCACATTCCAGACCGGTTGATCTCCTGAGAAAAAAACCATATTGGCAACAAATTCCTACTTTTGCATGGACCTTCTATACAGCTCCGGGGTATAACAGCTTCCATGGGGTTCTCACCCAACCATTTGGCATGTCAAAAGCGAGTCCGGTATCCATCACCCAATAGAATCCTTGAATAAGCAAGGAACAAAGGCCTAACTCCTTGAATCCCCTTCTAGATAGGAGACATGATAGCCAGTCTAGGGCGCGCCCATGGTACAACACATTGATTGTTCATCAGCTCGCCTAAAATGCCATCTCTTCCAAATTAAAATATTGAGTTTGCCCTTCCTAATTCACTACTAACAAAATACTTATTTCCTACAAAGAAAGTGATCTGAACCTATTCAAAATTAGCCTAGCAGCTTCAATTCTAAAGCAATTAATCACCAAAAAAATTAAATTTTTTAATCCTTATAATAAATTCCCAGACAAGTTCTCCAAATCAAATATCTCGTTCACTCAGCTAATGCAAAGAAAAGCAAAAATAAAAGGTACCCGCAAGATTTATCTGAGATTTAATCTGGTATTTGGAATAAAGCATTTACACAAGGCATCTATGAAAGCCTATTCACATTCAAAACGTGGGCCGCATCACATATAAATAAAGTAAGAAATAGAAAGAGCATCTTCTACTGCATAAAATACCAAATGAATGTTACTTTTTAATATTTATTTCAAAATATGTAAATTTATATTTATAAATTCATATATTAAAATTTATAATTAAAAAATTAATAAACCAATTTAACCTGAAGATGTTTTTATCAGTTATAACGTATTACTAATAAAGTAATAACAAAGTAAGTATTACTAATAAAGTAATAACAAAGTAAGTACGATTTTTCATGAATAACATAATTATAAATATTCTAATATGTATTTGTTTTTATTACAATCTTATTAATATTAATATAGTAATTCATGTATTAGGATAATAATAAGTGTAGTTTCATACTTATTATTATGAAAATTTTATAAAATTATTAAAATTAGAATTAAATATTATTAATGTATTCAAATAATAAAAATAAAATTGTATAAATTTATTATGATTAATTTAAAGTTAAGATAATAATTTAAATTATCAGAGCTGGATGGGCAAAGTGGAGATGTGCAACTGGAATTTAATTTTTTTAAAATTATTGCACAATCTTGACTTTATATAAAATGCACTCTATAGAAGTTCACATATATTACAGACTATAAACTAGCAAACCACATTCATTGCAAGATATGCATCAATAAATAGCCCAAAGCCGATATCCAATATCCACACATATAAATTAGAATTAACAAAACTACTTTCAAGAAAATTAGAAACCCAACACTGTTACCACTTTCGATCTAAAAATAAAATTGCTAAAAATATTTCTCAATATGAAAAAAAAAAACAAAAAATCTGTCAAAACGATTACTCAAAGACTCATGAGGCAAAAATGAGTAATTTGAATTTTGGAAAAACAATTGCAGAAAAAGGTAAAAAATTGACTCGTCAAATATCATAAAATCACTTTAAATAGTCAATCAAATGTCTGGAAAGTTAAAGCAACAGTATAATGGTTCTTGTTCTCTCTCTAGCAACCATATGCCATAGTTATATTTTCAGTAAAAAAAGGTTAGGTTAGAGGTGGAACTCATCAATATATTATCAAGAACAAACACTGGTTGGTACAAAGCACTTTTGAGAAGGTCGAAAAACAAGTAAATCCCCAAATTTTGTGGGGTTTAAATTTTTAAATAAAAATGACTCAATCAAACTCCACCCAAATTTTCAGAAAAAAGAAAAAAATAATTGAGATGTTCCCTGTATTTTCTCTCACTTTAAGCACTTATGAGATCATTAAAATCCAAATACCAAAGGAAGAGAATCATGACTATGTACAGAGATTTGCAACAAAAAATAACTAGAAATAAAATTCTTTCGTAATTTATAACAATCACACCAGTAAAATACATTGAGCCGTAAAAAAAATAAAAACCAATTTCACAATGCAAAAAACCCGATGCAGAGGATTAATGAACGAATCAAATGGCAAAGAATAAGACCCAATTACTAAACTTTAAACAAGAAAAAAACTTATAGAGAAGAGAGGTGCCTCAGGTGGAAAACCTATATCAGAGAAGCCATTAAAGAGAGAGAGAGAGGGGTTTGATGGAGGGAACAAACCTGATGAGAGGCTAGAGAAAAAGAGAGAGCCTTCGTGTGGAGAAACCTTGTTGATGAGAGAGAGAGGCCTGCTTGTGGGGAGACTTCTTGCTTGTTGATGAGAGAGAGAATGAGGCATGCGTGTGGAGGAGAGGCTTCTTCGATGAGAGAGAGAAGCTCGGGAGGGTAAAGTTTTTAAGTGAAAGGTGATGCAAGTTGGAAAGATCTAAGTCAGACTTGAATATTATTTGCGCATGGTTTTGGGGGTAAAGTAATATATTTTTTGATGAACTAGAAATTCTATTGAGGTTATCCAAATGGTTCTTACCTTCTATTTTAATCTTTTTTTCTTGTCATCTGAAAATATTGCAATTTTTGGTACACATCCAAACTGGCACTAAAATATTAAGTAGCTCATCTCTTGGCTGCTTTTGATAAATTGATAGTGCTCGGGGCCGCCCTGCAGGTTGGTTCAGAAACAAGCAAGTCAAATCCAGATTGTGGTCGATTGACAGATCCACAACCTTGGCTATTAAGATAAGTATTAGAAAGTGCGACTCGGACTGAGTAATTGGTCATGGCCCGAACCAATTACTCAAGCCAAATCCGAGTAACTCAATCAATTAGTATCAAGTACTATAGTAGCAAAAAAAAGGTTAAAAAATAAAAAAAATTTCAAATAGAAAATGTATGTTTAAAGTGAAATTAAGTAAACACAATAGAATTTATAGTTCATCAAAAAAGATATCATTTTACCTTCAAAACCAGGCGTCAAAAATATTCAAGTTGGACTCAGATCTTTCTGACTTGCACGGCCTTTCACTTGAAAACTTTACCCTCCCGCGCTTCTCTCTCTCATCGATGAAGCCTCTCCTCCGCAAATGCCTCATTCTCTCTCTCATCAACAAGCAACATGGTCTCCCAACACACAGGCCTCTCTCTCTCATCAACAAGGTCTCTCCACACGAAGGCTCTCTCTTTTTCTCTAGCCTCTCATCAGGTTTGTTCCCTCTCTCAAACCCCTCTCTCTCTCTCTCTCTAAAAGCTTCTTTGAGATAGGTTTTCCACCCGAGGCACCTCTTTTCTCTGTAATTTTTTTTCTTGTTTAAAGTTTAGTATTTGGGTCTTATTCTTTGCCATTTGATTTGTTGATTAATCTTCTGCATCGGGTTTTTTGCATTGTGAAATTGTTTTTTTTTTATGGCTCAACGTATTTTACTGGTGTGATTGTTATAAATTACGGAAGAATTTTATTTCTGGTTATTTTTTGTTACAAATCTCTGTACATAGTCATGATTCTCTTCCTATGGTATTTGGATTTTGATGATCTCATAAGTGCTTAAAGCGAGAGAATATACAGGGAACATCTCAATTATTTTTTTCTTTTTTCTGAAAGTTTGGGCGGAGTTTGATTGAGTTATTTTTATTTAAAAATTTAAACCCCGCAAAATTTGGGGATGCTACTTGTTTTTCGACCTTCTCAGAAGTGCTTTGTACCAACCAGTGTTTGTTCTTGATTATATATTGATGAGTTTCACCTCTAACCTGACCTATTCTTATTGAAAATATAACTATGGCGTAAGGTTGCTAGAGAGAACAAGAACCATTATACTATTGCTTTAACTTTCCAGACATTTGATTGACTATTTAGAGTGATTTTCTGATATTTGATGAGTCAATTTTTTACCTTTTTCTGCAATTTGTTTTCCAATTTTTTAGCAAAATTCAAATTACTCGAATTTTTGCCTCATGAGTCTTGAGTAATTGTATTGCCAAATTTTTCGTTTTTTTTTTTTTATGTTGAGAAATATTTTTTGCAATTTTATTTTTAGATCGGGAGCTGTAATAGTGTTGGGTTTATGATTTTCTTGAAAGTAGATTTGTTAATTCTGATTTATGTGTGGATATTGGATACTGGCTTTGGGCTATTTATTGATGCATTTGTTGCAGTGAATGTGGTTTGTTGCATTCATTGAGTGATTTATTGTCTGTGATATATGTGAACTTCTATAGAGTGCATTTTATATAAGTCAAGATTGCGTAATGATTTCTAAAAATTTAAATTCCAGTCGTACATCTCCACTTTACCCATCCAGCTCTGATAATTTAAATTATTTTCTTAACTTTAAATTAATTATAATAAATTTATGTAATTTTATTTTTAATATTTGAATATCTTAAAAATATTTAATCCTAATTTTAATAATTTTATAAAATTTTCATAATAATAAGTATGAAACCATACTTATTATTATCATAATACATGAATTACTATATTAATATTAATAAGATTGTAATAAAAATAAATACATATTGGATTATTTATAATTATGTTATTCATGAAAAAATCTTGCTTACTTTGTTATTACTTTATTAGTATACGTTATAACTGATAAAGACATCTTCAGGTTAAATTGGTTTATTAATTTTTTAATTATAAATTTTAATATTTAACTATATTTAATATCACCTTTAATTTTAAAGAATTTGAGTTTTTAAAAGTATGGTCATAAAATTTATGTATTTTGAAATAAATATTATAAAATAACTTGCATTTGGTATTTTATGCGGTAGAAGATGCACTTTCTATTACTTTATTTATATGTGATGAGGCCCATGTTTTGAATGTGAATAGGCCTTCTTCATAGATGCCTTGTGTAAATGCTTTATTCCAAATACCAAATATAAAGATGAAAATATATTGCAAGGCTGTCCCAAAGATTTCCAGTATTGAAACCACATTTAATACAATGATTTTTTTTTTTATATATTGTTAAACTCCCACAACCCCCAAATTTACAAAAAAGATTTTATTTTTGTTTTTTTTTTTCTGGTTAAGCTCAAAGAAAATTAATCCTAAATCTACAGAGAATTTATATTTTATTTTCGTATTTTTTCTTTCTTTCCTGGTTATGCTCAAACAAGAAAACCCCCAAATGCGCAGCAAGAGTATGTCTTTATGTTTTAGGTTCATTTCTGTGTTTTTGCCCATCCTGGTTACATGGTTTATTTATTTATTTTCTTGCTGGTTATGTGAGTTTATTTATATATATATTTTTTCCTTGCTGGTTATATGAGTTTATTTTCTTTTCTAGCTGGTTTTCATTTTTTCCTGCTCGTTATATAAGTATTAAACTTGGACTGGGTACTGAATTGGCCTTCTTCCATTGATTATATTTTTTTGTTGTTTGTGTTTGAAATCCATTGTTGTTCCCAGTTAATTTCGCCCAATTTATATTAAAATATCTGTTATACTTTTATTGAAATGCATGAATGGGAGGTTTTTATCTTCATTTTGGAGGGTTAATTGAGCATGTTTTTGTAGAATTCTCAAACTTCGGGCATTTAAAAAGGATCCATAGCGTGGGCTGCAACTTGATTTTGAGATTTATTTTCATTTGATAGCACTGAACTCGGAGTTATTTGCTGCATAATGTTGGGGGTTTGTGGATGGATACTTTAGATTTTTTTTATGCATTTGTGCTGGATCTATCTGGATTTTCCTTTCCCTATCTCTCTTTCTCTTTATATACTGTCCGTTCTTGCTTTCACGAGTTTCTCTATTTCTTGTGATGAATTATTTCTTTTTATGCTCTCTGTAATTTTATGTTCATGCATTGTTTCTTTAGTTGGATGAAGCTAATCTTTTCTGATAAAAAAATAGGTATAGCTCTTTTTTTCTTTTGTTGTGACTTGTAGTGTTTTCTCTGTTCCTAAGTTTGTGAAATTACATACTATATTCTTTAAGGTATTATGCGGTTTTATCAAATTTTTTGAAGAAGATTCTTCAAGAACCAATATAGCTCAAAATCTGGTAAAGAAAATTGTGCATGAGATTTAGAAGTTGAAATTGAGATGTGTACCTACAAGTTTAATGGTTATTTTTATGACATTCGTTTCTTCCAAAGAAATTAGATTTGTCATTACAATAGATGGTTTAGTTATTGCATGCCATGTATTCCTTCTATTCCATTACTTGTGTCTTCTCATTATGCTCTCTTCTAGTTTTTTTCGCTTAAGTTTGCTTGTACCTAACTCCGCCTTGATTGGCCCCATGCTAGTCGTGCTGGTCCCAAGCCTGGGTAAAAGAGTAGGGTTGGGTAGGCAACTAGTGTAAAACTTTGCCTTGCCTTTTCATGAATTCTGAACCTATTGGTGGAACAGGATTTTTGTAGGCAACCACAAATAGTTGGGATAAGGCTCAAATGAATCTTGTTGGTACTTTTTATTTTTGCTTTTCTTTGCATTAGCTGAGTGAACAAGATATTTGATTTGGAGAACTTGTTTGGGAATTTATTATAAGGATTAAGAAGTTTAATTTTTTTGGTGATTAACTGTGTTAGAATTGAAGCTGCTAGGCTAATTCTGTGTTTATATATGAACTTTGATAAGTTTGTGCATGCATGTTTTGTGATATTTCTGTTTGTTTTTTTTTTGTGGACTTGCATCCCTGGTCTTTCTGGTTCTTTTTTTGTCGGTGTATAATTTATCCATGTTGTCTTTTTTGTTATTTTTATCTTTTCGTAATTAATGAATGTTAAGGCTTGAATAGTACTTAGCATACCCAAGTCCTGGTTCAACTTGGCTGAATCTTCATGTGAGTCATACGATCTTGAATAATAATTTTGTCTTGAGTTTGTTTTCTGGTTAAAACACTTGAATATCATTAGGTTGGATATTATGCATCTTGGTAAGTCAGTTTATGGTGAGTTCTATCTTGTCGTTTGTGTGTGTATCCTCTATTGGCCATGGACTCCTCATATATTGCATCTCATTGCAATATCTCATAGTATGTATGAAACTGGTTGAAGTGGTTTTCTTGACAGTTGGGAGTTGTCAATTGGTTTGTGTTTATATCTTGAATCCACATTGGTTTTACAAAAGAGTTAGAAACAGCCACCATTTTCTATTTTTTGTAGAATGGCAAATTAGCATGTTGTGAATCAACACAGTTTAAATTAAAAGACTTCTATCAAGATAATGCTTGCTATGGAAACTTCTATTTTTGGGTTTTTGCTATCTCATATTTCTCCTTGATTTTGTTAAAGCATAAAGTTAGCCTTTTTGAATTTTCCGATTTGGTGGTATGGCCTCGTCTTCCTTTTTGGAATCTTAGGAGGGAGAGAAACCAAGTCTCTTTGGTGGTATGGCCTCTTCTTCCTTCTTGTTTTTCTGAAATTTTTGATGTTTTGTGAGGTTTTTTGATTTCTTGTGAGTTTTTTATTGGTTCATGTTTGGTAGATGATGTTATAGTCTAAATCTTTATGAGATGGGTTTTTCTATTTGATTTGATTGTTGAGCCTTGTTAAATTGAAATATTTCTTGTTTGATGGGTAATTTATAGGCATCATGGCTTTTGTTTGCCTAGATCTTGGCTGAATGTGCAAACTGATCTTCATCAAATTTGTTACCATGGAAACTGAAGTTTCTGGTCCTTGTAGTGAAGTGGATTTTTTGAATAGCGTTTTGTTTTGGTTGAATTGCATTGAGCCTTGAATTTTACTTTCTTTTTAATTTGAATTTGGAAGGATAAAATAATGTGTATAACTAAAATGGACCAGTTATGTATTTTGAATGCAGGATAGACTGTTAGTATGGATCTATCTAATCTATATGATATCTATGTCAGATATTATGTTGCATATGTAGCAGCCTTGTGTTGTGCCTGGTACTACTATACCTACTTGACATCTAGTTCACACATGTTATTTTATTGGTGCTGCATTTGTTTCATATTTATTGGAATCCCATGAGAACAATTGCTTTAATTTATTACGTATGGATACAGATGCCTTTCTAGGCTGGTGTACTAGTGTGATAGCAATTTCTATGTTTATGTATTTCATAAGACATTTCTTGTGGCAACCTTTTGATATGGATATATTTTTTTCTTTTCTGGTTACGTAGTTATAAGAACTAATTTCAATCTCAACCGTACATTTTATAAGAAATGCAGTAGATGGGACTAGCAAGAAAATCTTATTCAAAATATGCATTTTCACATCAATCAATGACATACATAATGTACAGTTAAAATAGGCAGTTTCCAGCGTTCTCAATACCAAACAGGTGAAAATACGACCACCACAGTTCATCAAACAAGCATCCCAGCTTTTAGGCTACCAATTTTCACTTCCCTCCCATAATCCAGGAAAATAGGATTTTGTTAGGGAAACTACAAACAAAGTTATCAAACACAGCCTTAGTTATAACCACTTCATACTCGCTATGAGCAATGGACTTCGACCTTTTAAAACCCTAACTTCTCTCTCTATAAATTTCATGACTTGAGAACCCAAGTCTTTGAGAAAGACCCTAGAATCTCGTACCATGATTAGGGTTCCCACCAATGATTTATTCATCACTTTATAAGATATTTGAGATGCTTAACATTGAAGAAGCTGTGTTTTTTAAAGGTTTTAATGGAGGGATTGAAGGTTTCGAAGGTGGATTTGACTACTTATTTGCCCCCTTCTTCTTCATCTAATGCACAAAAAGGGCTTTTGCACCAGCTTAGCTTCATATTGTTAAGGTATTTTGTCTTCTTTTTCTTTGTATTATTTTCTGCTTTTGGTTGTGGTTGCAAACTTAGATGACAATTTAAGACTTTGTTGTTTTTTAGGGCAATTTTCTGTGATTTATCTCTTTTTATATGTGTTTTCTGCTTGAACATTGCAATTTCTGAGAAAATGTGATCAAAATTAGCATGTTATTTCTTAGTAGAATATTGGTGGTACAAGTTATGACTCTTTTTTGAGTTCAATTATTGAAAAATAGAAACAAAGCACTACAAAGGATAAAGAATTTGATTCCTTTAGTCTAATTTTGGTGAAAGGTGAAAAAGAAATGAAATAGCAATACAAGAAATAAAAAGCTGTTTATTTTGTAAGAATTTGGGTATATATATATATATATATATATATATATGTAGGTGT